GGGGCAACTAGATAACCTGCTTCAAGGTTGTGCTGCCTGGCCTTGCTCTCCACATGCTTAGGTCAGGGTCGACTTGCCACCGCCACCGCCAGTGCTTATGTATGGACAGACTCCACAACTTGGTGTAAGAAGGCAATGCCATGTCCGGGTGTTTCCACCGTGCTGGAAGACATGTGCACAAAGGCAGCATGGAAAACCACACAGGGTGCGACACATGTCAGCAGCCCCGCAATAATCACCACCCTGAATCACCGGTATTCTACCTCCTTCACCAACATCATATCGCCTGACAACAATAATCATGAGTGAACACACACAACGCGCAAAAACAAACTTCCGTAACAAATTCACCTTCACCCACCTGAATCATGGGCACCACCTGCATCAGCAGCAATAGCGCCTGACAACAACCAACAACAAGAACAGATCAAGAGCGCCAACGAACTCCCCCAAAACACGAAAAACACACCTGCGGTGCCGCCTCGGCTCCCCCGCTGTCGACCGCGTCCATCTCCTCCTCGCTCATGGCTGGGCGGCCGAACATGGCGCCGCCGACGATCTGGGAGAAGTCGAGGGCACCCGGACTGTGCCGATGGCGTGCGGGGAGGCCATCTTCTTCCTTCTTACCCTGTCAGAGGGATGGATATACACGGGGAATTCAACAGTGTGCGTCTTTATTTTCTTTGTTGCGGCGCGCTGCGGGTTGGGACCAACGGATAGCGTCTGGGGTGGACAGCGGTGGGGGCAACCCAACCCGTGTGTGGAAAACATGACACACCTTCACAAGGGTCATCAGAACAACTTAACAAGAGATCGATGTTAGGAAAAAGGGGGAAAAAAACAAAAAAAATGCCCTCGCCGTTCCGATCGGCGCTGTAAAGCATCCAATAAAAAAACTTCAGTCTACAGTACGGCAGAGCGGCACCAACCCTAGTGTACCTTCTTCTCCGTCAGGAGGGCCCGTTTCCCGACGAACTTGATCAAGGGCTTGTGGCGTTTCTTCATTGGTGCCACGAAGTCGGCCCCGGCCATGAAGGCTCCGGCCATGGCGTCCTCGAGGCTAGGCTTCTTCAACTATGCATACGTAGGAACGGCAGCAGCGACAATGACGACGACACCGGTCAAAGGAGCAACAACACCAACAACTTCAACAGCGACAACGACCTTTAATCAACGACGACGACAGCGGTGGCAATGACAAACATCCGGGATACCCAAGAGGCCGGAAAAGTTCCTGCGACAGTTTTCGAAGAATATGCACGTCTACGGGACTGCCGTACGTTCTAGAGTAGGCAAACACCACAGTAACGAGAGAGACATGCATCAGGTCGGGGGGGGGGGGGGGGGGGGGCCCCCGGGGGGGGGACCCACCACCAACAAAACCAACCCCAAAAAAAAACTCGCGAACGACGACCCCAGCCGCAGAATCAAAAGCATTGGGGGAACCCCCCCCCTTCCTTGGGGGGGGGGGGGTTTGCCCTTTCCCCCCCCGGGTGAGCCGGGACCCTACCCTTCCCCCCCAAAACTTTCCCCCCTTTTATTGGGCAACGGGGTTTCCCACCCCCCCCCGGCTTTAAAAAAAACAACAAACCCTTCCCCCGACCTTTTTTTTTAAAACCACACAGAGGGGCGGGAGGGGAAAATCTAAACAAAAAAAGGGGCAATCCCCCAACCCCCCCCCCTGAGTGAAA